GCTTGCAAAGCTCGGCATCATTAGCTATAATGAATGGGAATCCGCGATGTACGGCCGCATGATGTACCTGGGGGTCAGTCGCATTATCAATGGGAAGGAAACCGTGATCTCCGACCCTGGTAGTTCCTCCGACGTCACTTCAGCCAGTATGGCCGCGTACAACGCCTACGCAACACGATGCGAGAAGGCAGCTGGAGAAATCTATCAGTGGTTGGATGAAGCAAACAAGGTGCATGTTCTGTCCATTCGAGAAGACCCGAAAGCGATGTGGGACAAGCTCGCACTCATTCACAATAAATCCGCGCCAAACTCCCGTTTCAACTCTCTCTCCGATCTCTTTTCCATTCGCCTCAAAGAAGACGAAACCCTCACTCAGCTGACTGCTCGTGTTGAAGGGGCTATGCAAACTGTCGTCAATCTTCGCCCCAAAGAACCGCCATACACCCTTTCCTTGCTTGACGAAGAACTCGCAATCATGGCCATGATACGCGCTCTTCCTCGCGAGGACTACAACCCCTTCATATCCTCTGTCCTACTCTTATCGACTCTCACGAAGGACGCCGTCTTGGAAGCCTTTCGCGTTGAAGAGACTCAACGTCGAGGCACCCAGGCTGAGATCGAGGCCGCCGCTGTCATTGCTGCTGCCGCTGCCGCTCGAGACATCAAATGTCATTGGTGTGGTGGTCCGCACATGCAACGTGAATGCGCTAGCTATATCGAGGCTCGCAGCAGTGCTCAGAAATTGCCTGCATCTGGGGGGAAGAAGAAGAATCGTGGAGGACGTGGAGCTGGACGTGGCGCAAACCGGGACTCGGCCAATGCCTCCAAGGTCGAAGAGGGCTGTGATGGTGTTTCTGTCAAGGCCGAATCCGCTGTTTGTATCTCTGCTAGCACCAAGGCCTCAGCTGACACACATTGGAATGCAGACTCTGGCGCCACAGCGCATATGACACCTCATCGCAATTGGATTTCGAGCGACTTCAAACCTTGGCGTGTTCCAGTCCACATCGCAAATGGGCATATTGTTTATTCAACTGGGAAGGGATCAGTACATTTCCGGCCTTCAGGTCGACAGTCAAATGGAAGGGCATTGGAGGATCTTATCATCACAGATGTACTTCATGTACCAGATCTTGCCAATAATCTCTTATCTGTTCTTACCCTCACGACGAAGCGAGCATTCACTGTCGTGATCCGCGGCTCCAAATTGTCTTTCATTCGGAAACACAAAACTCTTTTCACTGCAACCGTCGACTCATCAACAACGGCTTATCTTGATGGAACAGTCGTTGTCCCCAACATTTCATCCAATATTTCTGCCGTTCGTGGAGCAGTCATTGACCGCAACCTTCTTCATAAACGCCTATGCCATCTTGGCCACGATCGCCTTGAAAGGTTCATTGACGAAGATTTAGCATCAGATACTGTCCTCACATCAGATGCTCCTCTTGACAACATCTGTGAATCATGTATCGCTGGAAAGCAACACCGGCACCCATTCCCTCATACCGCTGATAGAGCGACTGGTGCTCTAGATCGCATTTTTAGTGATGTTCACGGTCCCATGAGTGTACGGAACCGCTCTGGGAAACGTTATTGGGTCACATTTATTGATGACGCATTCCGTTGGATGGAAGTCTATGATATAGCCAAGAAAAGCGATGTTTTTGGAGCATTCAAACTCTTCAAGGCTCTTGTCGAAAAGCAGACTGGCCGGAAAATCAAATGTTTCCATGTTGATCAAGGGGGCGAGTTTACACTCAAGGAATTCGTCGACTTTCTTATGGCAGAGGGCATTCGAATCAAGTTTACGACGCGTGCTACTCCACAGCAAAATGGAGTTGTTGAACGGAATAATCGGACCACAGCTGAAGCACTCACCTCAATGCTTAATGAAGCAAACCTCCCGATGAGCTTCTGGGGTGATGCTCTCAATGTATTCCGCCATGTACACAACCGTTCTCCGACAGCTGCTCTTCCAAAAGGTTCTACACCTTACAGTGGTTTCAAGGGCAGAAAACCTCGCTGTGGCCATCTTCGTGTTTTTGGCTGCCGTGCGTATGTCCTCATTGGTCGGGATAAGCGCAAGAGCTTGCAAGGTCATACCATCAAAGGTATTTTCATGGATATGGGGATCCTCAGAACCATGCTGGTTGGAGGTTTTATGATCCAGTTTCGAAGAAGACCTACATCTCGCGTGATGTCATATTTGATGAATCCCGATTTCCTGGTACCTCAACCAAATCCTCTTCCTTGAACTCTGATTTTGCTCCACCCCTTGCCAATTTCATGGATCTCCCAGAACATGAAGACCCGTTTGATGAAGATGATCCTGTTTTCCCTCCTGCTTTAGAGGCACCTTCTAACGATTTGCCTCCTTTGGTGGGAGCCGATTTGCCTCCTTTGGTGGGAGCTGATTCTCCTCCACCTGCACGTCGTCGCCGTGAACATGCTCTCCCCCCTCCTCCTTTTGAGCTCCCTACTGGCCCTCGCACTCGCAAGCCTGTCCAGAAATATGACGACTATTATTCCTCAATCCAACGTCAAGCGGATGCAAAAGCTGATGCTAAGAGACTACGTAATCTTGTGCCTGACATCCCTGCTCCAGCCCTTCCCATCCCAGTGAATGACAACACTGACAAGCTGCTTTGGGATGCATCTCTTGGCCCTGCTGATGAATTTGGCGAACAGGAGGTGAATTTTAACCTCGATCTTGTGTCTGATGAAGCTCTCATGATGGCTGGACGTACGTTCGTCGAGAATGGAACCGATTCGGGGGGATACAGTGCTTTTTCCGCGACATTGCAATCGTCTACCTGCGCAATGAAAGTTGGCGCCCATGACACCAATCCACGTAACTATCGAGAGGCCATGGGAAGTGATCACTCCGAGGAGTGGTACACTGCAATGTGTCTGGAGATGAACGCAATTGAGAGGAATGGCACCTGGCGCGTTGTATATCTTCCTGCAGGAAAGAAGTCAATTGGCTCACGTTGGGTGTTCAAGGTTAAACACCTTCCAGATGGCTGCCTCGATAAGTTCAAAGCGCGTGTGGTCGCCCAAGGCTATAGTCAACGCCCTGGTGTCGACTTTGACGAAACCTTTGCACCAACAGCACGCTGGAATGCTATCCGCACTATTCTTGCTCTTGCAGCAGTCGAGGATATGCACCTAGAGTCGGTTGACATTCGCGCCGCATTTCTGCATGGTGTTATGCCTGAAGAAATGGAGATTTATATGAATCTCCCTGACGGATTTCCTGCACATCCTGCACCTGATATCATCAAACAACCTGGAGATGGACGACCAGTCGCTCGCCTTTTAAAGGGTCTTTACGGTCTCAAGCAGGGCGCATATCTTTGGCATAAGCGGATGAACGAGGTCTTCATCAAGATCGGTTTTGTGCGTGTGGTCTCAGATCCTTGCGTATATGTCTACCTACGTGATAAGGTCCGCATCATTATCCCTGTCCATGTCGACGACATGACAATTGCATCAGCATCACGACCGGCCATCCTCAAGGTCATTGATCAACTTCGCGAGTACTTTGATCTCAACCATCTTGGACCAGCAGTCGGCCTTCTTGGTGTGCGTCTCACCCGTGATCGCCCTAACCGCAAACTCTGGATTGACCAGCGTGCTTACGCTGTTGACCTTCTTTCACGCTTCAACATGCTCGACGCCAATCCGGTAACTACTCCCATGGACCCTAACATAAAGCTCAGAAAGTCCCAGTCCCCACAAACATCACAGGAGGTCGAAGAAATGAGCCGAATACCTTATATTCAAGCTACAGGAGGCTTGCTCTACCTGGCTCTCGCAACACGTCCTGACATCGTGTATTCGGTGGGAGTTCTATGTCGTTTTAACTCCAATCCCGGGCTTGACCATTGGAAGGCTGTTAAACACCTTCTCCGCTACATACGTGGGACCTTGGATTATCGGATTGAGTACTCCGCCATTGCCTCGACACCTGCACCAACGTTTTTCAAAGCATTTTCTGACGCTGATCACGGCGGTAATCTTGACAACGGCCGATCTACTACTGGGATGCTACTTATGGTTGCTGGTGGTGCTGTTAGCTGGAGCAGCAAGATCCAAACCATTGTTGCTAACTCCACAACCGAGGCCGAGTTTATTGCTGCCAGTGAAACTGGACGAGAGCTTTGCTGGATGCGAAATTTCCTTGATGAAATTGGTACGACACAAGTTGGTCCCTCGGATCTCAAAATGGACAACAATTCTGCAATCTCCGTCTCAAAGCAGCCTGAGCATATGGGAAGGCTCAAGCACCTCGACCGCCATTGGTTTTGGTTGCGACAGGCTGTTTACGATAGGAAAATCATTCCCTCTTACATCCCTACTGCTGAGATGGCAGCAGATATTCTCACCAAGGCACTAACTCGAGACCTTGTCGAGAAGTTCAGGCGCATGATGGGGGTTGTTGGGGAGTGGTCCAAGGAGCCACTGCAGTGATATTGTCCGGGACATCATCAGGTGGGAGTGTTGAGTATTATGATTCGTCCCGCCGCTACCTTACAGGCCCACTCTTTTCACGTGACCTACCGTAGTTCACCGTCGTCCGTTTACTTCAGATCTTGTATCTAACGTACACGGACGACAGGTGAGTAGTATAGTTTTTACTCTAGATCTTGTATCTAACGTACACGGACGACAGTCCGTTTATATACTACACTTTTCAGTGTTCACGTTGGATCCCACTGTCTTGGGAGTTCCTCAAGCCGTCTCTCCCTGCGCCAATCCCAACAGAAGTGACCAATAAAGGTCAAGCTCGATTACTTATACGTGAGGGTTCCAAATGAAGTCACTTGTACCTCAGCCTGAACTTTTCTTATCCTTTTTTGCTTTCAAGGCGTCTTTGGGGCGTCTTCTCCTGACTTTTCATTCACAACCACCATTATCCCATTCATCCTCCTGTCGTTCATTTGGCATTTGGCATTCTCCTCTCCAACTATATTCAGCAATACACACGTCACATCATGTCCAACCTCTACGCCGGTCCCTCATATCAGAATTCATCTCAACCCACCTTCTCCCCAGCTGCTCGTGATGAGACTCACCGACGGTCCTTTCTCGACTTGAATCAACCACTTACATCTATTGGGCGAAGGCAGCCAAGCCAAATCCAAACACCTCCTCCTAATCTATACTTACCTCAACCAACGTTTTCACCCACCTATGACCCCGCAACTCAAAATTTTCAGGTTGCATTGTGCCAGGAGGTGAGTGGCCGCTGAATTCCGATTTACACTTGCACCCCAGAAACTGACGTACCTAAAGCTCAACAGGTCCGAGAAGATTCACATCCCGCATTGTGAAGGCGATCGCTTTAGAAGCCAGCAGCCCACCGGCATCATGGCTTATTACGTTGCGGGCACTTGTGACACCCCTTTGGCTCATGGCGATTGGGACTTTGGGAGTCCCCTGGTCTCCGACCCCAGCACGTGCCAGTGTGGCTCAGTCCAATACTACAGTTCCACCAAAGGTCCTGTTGAATGGCAGGGCTTTCCATGCGAGGATCAGCTCGCAGCGTACGATGCATTCGGCCAGCCTCACTACGGTGCTGTCAAATTACTCCCATATCACTCTCAACACCCTCCCATTTCCCCTGCCCAACATTCTTCATACTCCGAGCTCTCAGCCAATGTACTTTTTCTATCGGAGCTCAAATGCGCTGGGTCGAATTCGAAGATTTCAAAAGCTCCGATTACCCCCTCCAACAACCCTCCAAGCCCAACACTCAACAAACTTCTACTAATGCGAAACGGAAGGAAAGGCCTTCGTCTGATTCTGAATTAGACATGGATTTTAAACCACATTTTCCGTCCTCCAGTCGTCGTTGATTGGCTCCCACACAGGGCAAACAAAAGGTAGCATCGGTGCCACCCCCATGTCAGTCGACTGCATCTCCGCCTAAGCCACACACTCCAAAGAAAGACGGAGAGCAGAAGAGGTTGAGTTTCACATGTCTATTTTGCAGGGAGAGGAAAATTGCGTGTGGTCGCCCAAGTGAGGATGAACCTGACCAAACTTGCACGTACACAATCGACTTCATTTGATGTTAGTGTTCTTACCACATTTTTAGTCAATGTCTGCGTCGAGATCTCACATGTGAATACCTGAAGGGGTCGAGGCGAGGACAGCATAAACGTGGTCCCAAGGGAAAAGCCAGGCATCAATGAACACTAGTGTTATGCTTCCTTCGCAGGATGTTTTAGTTTCATTTGTAATGTAATTTTCTCCAGCTTCTTGACATATCTTTGAGGCTGTGCTATATCATCATGTGTAGTATCATATAGAACCCTGTATTCATCTTGACCGAATGTTACGGGTGACTGGAATACATTACAGACTAGAAAGGACAACCATTAAGCTTTTCACCTGTGCAATCACAGCACGCAATTTTAAACTGCTCCCAGTCCCACTTCAGTTACACCGATAACAGCGGTCCAAACTGCCCAGTTCCATTCCTCCGCCCAGAAACCAGGTTTCATACAAACCACTTCGATGTTTCGTCCTTCTGGATCAATGATGAATACGGCGTAGTAAGTCATGAAGTACTGAGGGCGCAATCCCGGAGGCCACGGATAGCAAAGTCTTCTACGTCCTTCTCCAACCTCTCCTCCAGCTCCTTGGTCTTGTTGCGCGTGCAAAGTTCGATGATGATACCCGTCATACCCTTGGTGACACGCTTCAGTTTGCCGGTCGACTCTTCACGGTATGTGATCTCGGTACGCTTATCGACGGGGTTGAACGGCTTGAAGTCGAGCAGTTTGATTCCGGCACGAGCACGGGCTGTATCTCCGAGCGCTTGAACGACGGACGTGTCAATGGCGTCCTGATTCTCCACACGCAAGGCGTAAGCGGAAAGGAGTATAACATCTTCCGTGGAGAAGGGGCTGTATGTCTGGATAGTGTTGCGGTCGATGGTGAGCTTGTTGGTGGTCAAAGTTCCGGTCTTATCAGAGCACAGGATAGTAACGCCAGCCAACTCTTCAATGGCGGTGATGCGTGTATCAATGGCCTTGTACTTGGCTAATTGCTGAGCACCGACGGCGAGGGTGATTGAGAGGACGGTGGGCATGGCAATGGTGATACCACCGATGAGAAGAACGAGGATGTTGTCAAGACCATCGCGGTACCTGTACTACAGCCAGCGTACAAAACAAACATTTCCGCAATGACGAAGACATCCATGGTGACAAGACAGAAAGATCCGAATTGAGCCAAAACCTTCTGCAAGTGACCAGTGGTGTCGTCATCCTGGCCTCCGAGCGAGGCAGCACGATCAAAGAAGGTGTTGGGGCCAGTGGAGATAACCACTCCCTCAGCTTCACCCTGCTTGCACGTGGATCCCCTGAAAAAAAAAGACGTCAGACGCTGAACAATGTGCTCCGAAAACATTATAGACTCACGAAAAGCACTGGTCGCCCGTTTTCTTGGACTGAGGCAGTGACTCACCCGTCAAAGCGGTCTGATCAAGAGAAACATTGATGGCTTCTGTCAGACGACAATCAGCTGGGACGATATCACCGATTTTGAATGACACCATATCCCCAGGAACGAGAATGGACGACTCGATTTCTGACCATTGGCCATCGCGTCTAACCTTGGCTTTAGGTGCCAAGGAGTCCATAAGCGCCTTGAAGGCATTACCAGTGTTACGTTCTTCGTAGAAACCAATGGCAGAGTTGATGAATAGCAGGAGAACGATGCCGACAAAATCAGGCCAGTCAGGGGGTGTGCCCTGACCGTTTGAAGGTACGATAGTGACGAGCGCAGCGGCTTCCATCACCCATGACAGGGGGCTCCACATAAAACTCAAGAACTGAGCAGAATTAATCAGAAACGTGCGCCTAGAGAAAGTAAAAGACTAACCTGAAGGAATATATTCTGTTCCTCAGATTCCAGTTTGTTGCGGCCAAATAGCTCGAGTCGTCGTTGAGCCTCTTCTTGGTTCAACCCCTCCGCAGTGCACTACAAGAGCTTGATGACATTGTCGATAACGATAGTCTCCGCTCCTTGTCGATAACGATAGTCTCCGCTCCTTGTCGTACAAATCCTCTGCCTTTAGTTCGATCTGCAGGGACGCACGTTCGTATGAGCCAAGGAAGCTGAAAACATCTGAGCACGTACTGTGGACATATCGACCTTGGCGTCTACACACGCGTCAGAACCGCATAGAACAAGTTGAATAAAATCAACGAATCACGAGATGCTTTCTCGTCGTCATGGCCAGAATCCTTATACTGCCTCTTCTGGCTCTTCGATGGCGTCGGTAGCATCACCCTGAGGATCGTCTGCGACGGCGCTCATGGTGGCTAAGTCGCTTCCAGGAAGAAGAAGATTGCGACCAGGATGGAGATGTTTGACCTTAGTATGTAGTTCCCAACCTATCCATGAGAAATTTGCGGGGCCGCAGAGGAACTGACTCAGAGATTCCAATCTGTCACGAAAGCAACACGAAAGCAGAAATACATACCAGATTTCATCGCTTTTCTGAGGAATATATGTGTTGCGTTTACCTCGGTGCCTCGCTCGTTCCGGGTTTCGACGACATCTCAAAATCTCAAGGACAACCAAAACGCCATGAGGGAAAAACGCCAGTCACACCCGTTGGCGGAAAGCACGAACACGTATACACAATGGTGGATGATGACAAACAATGCGTATCTACTCCTGAAGCCTTTGCCAAACATGAACAAGCAGTGTGGATCTCTATGAATCGCAAATGAATCGACTTCTTTCGGCTGCCAGTGACACGCTCCACCGTTCCATCAAACAAAAATTCGAGGCGATCAAGGTCGTTGAGGGATACATATTCGCGTTCGTCTGTGCACGAGGAGGTGATCTATAAATAAAACAACCCTTTCGTGGAAAATCGGCGCTAACTTTGCCATCACGACGGTCGACCTGAACGTTTCCAGCGTGAAGTTCTGAGTGTGTCGGAATACATAGGTACTAGACGAGGTAAAGTGAGCAGGTGAGATTGACTCGGAGTGGAGCCTGGAGGAAGACGTACACGTCATATAAGTACCTCATTACTCCCTACACAAGACGAACACATCGAGTCAACATTGAGTCCTCCATGATGCTGAAGCGAAGGCATTCTTTGCCTCGGCCGTCCGCCATGGTATTGCCAGAAGTCTAATGGTCTCGGATGTTCCAATATTGCATCCGCCCGAGTGTTAGAGTATGGCTGCTGTTGAGAGGTTAGTTGATGAACAACGGTAAAAGGGGAAAAGGAATAGAAAGATGGGGGCCGATTCATCGATCTAAGTCTCGATAACGAAAAGGAATGGGCATCAAGTAGGCTGATCCAGAAAGGAACGGAACGAGTTACGAAAGGAGGAAAGAGATGGGTGTGCGCTGAACACAAACCACCTAGACAAAAGGGGTACAGTTGAAGTAGGGGGAAGGTCGAAAAAGTGTATGGGTGGAAAAAAAATGCGGTATCCACTTAGCGCTTGCAATGAAAATGTTTGAGCGTGTTTTGATTCACCACTAGTCAAGTTAGGACGTAGCCGTATACACACCCCGCTCCTCGCCGTCGAATTTGCAGGAATAGTTTATGAGGGTGATAGGCATCGAGTCGAGGCGTGGGCACTGCAACGTAGGTTAGATTCCGTTCTGAGTCTGACACACGATGGACTTGCCTGACGTCAGAGGCATTCCCCATTGTCATCTTCGCATTTCCTCTGTCTCTCAACCTGTGGAAGGTGTTCAAATGTGTCCCCTCTCTTGAAAGCAGTCGTTGATGGTACATCTTCTGACTTTTCGATGACGCGAGAGTTCGTCGACGACGTAGTGCTGCAACATCGGATAAGAGAGTCTAGACGCCTGTGAGTGAACAGGTCATTCTGTTAATGGGAGATACAACTTACTCAACATGATTAGGCATTGAGTCAAGGTAAAACTGAGCTAAAAATTTCCAGGTTGCACAAGCTACAATTCAAGGTCTAGTTACATATCTATCTAAATCGCACCCAAGTACTCTATGATTTTTGCACGCCGGCTGTCGACATTCATGGTATTGGGAAAAGGTTCCATCCCCAGAGCTGCTCCCATCTGAATACAAACAGGACCTAGAAATTAGGTCAGAAGCAGCAGGGATTGAAGTATTCTTGAGAGGTATTCACCTTTCATTTGATATAGTTCGGTTTTGTTTTGTGGGAAATACTGGGGATTGATTCCAGCAGGGTATCTGAGTAGGGCGTCATGTGGGCATTTTGAATTGTGAAGGCGGAGAGTCAGTAAGGTGGCCCTAGAGAAATCAAGTTCTAATCGTAAATGAAATGGTGGGAGATATACTGCTGGTTGATTTTAGTCATAATGCGCTCCTCGCTTGTGCGCAGCGCCTCAAGTATAACAGCTGATGAGTCTTGGAGAGCAGTCTGATAATAAAGGATCAGTTCAGGTCCAAAATGTAGAAGTCAGTAGAACCTGCCCGCAGATCCTCAGCGGTAATGGTGTTTGGCTCGGGGGCGGCGTTTGGGATTCTCGCCACATGAGTGGCAACCTCGGCCAATAGAACCGAGAGTCGGGCGAAATCAGGTTGATCAGGAAGGGGTTGGACGTCTGCCATCGAGGGAGTAATAAGCTAGTTGGACTGTGGTGGTGGAAGCAAAGGTGAAAGGATTGCACGATCGTAATAATCCAAGTCGATCAACTAGCACGTGACCTCAGACTAGTCTTCCCACCCTTGTTTCGTAGCCTATATTTTTATTAGGGAACCACGGCCCCTAGTAGTTTAATTTGAATATTGTTAGGCTCAGTCTCTCATGCTCCGCACCGGACGCCATCCAGTTGCTCGACGTAAACTTGTAGTCCCATGCGTGCCTACCTCTACTTAACTTGGAAGCTCCTGCCCAACGTGGCTTGAACGTGGCCAGACCCTCTCTTCTGAGGTTCGACACTCACCCGTCGACGCACTATCAATTACCCAACGCCTTGGCAGCCGGAGAGTAAGCACATAACCACGGAAGTCTACCAGTCTGCCAAGAAGGATTGGTACCGTGAGCACCGTGAATTCATTAGTAGAGGACATATAGCCGAGCAAACTTGATCATAAACACAACAAAGTGAGCCTATGAAAATCCTTCCATTACAAACGGATCGCTATACTGCCCAAATTTACTGGGTACACCTATTTTCCAAATGTCGATGAAGCGACCAAAGGAAACGGCGTGGGCGGAACCTCCCTCCCAGGCGGACCAGCGGAGACACCCAAATCAGACACCTCTCCGCTCTCCATGTTGTACACCCAGCCATGGACTGCACCTTGATCATGTGCGTAGTGCTGTTGATTACTTTTATTAATCCGCGAAGAACACGACAATGGGAAAAGGAAGTGACTCACATGTCGAATCAACGCTGAATCACTGATCCTCTTCACGTTTGCCTTGACATTCTCTTCCACTAGAGCGCGGAACACCGCTAAACAAAATAAATCTCAGCACTTGTCCATGAAAACGGGTGCTTGACAAACGTACGGCAATGTAAATGAGGCAACTCCTCCGCGCACGGTTGTTTTTCCCGATGGCGCACAATCTCCGGCCTACAACCCATCTCCACATCAACGAAACAAAACAAAACAAAACAGAGAAAAGAGAAGGAAAGTGCTAACCGCTCAGACGTCTCATACAAATCCCGAATATTATGTATCCAGCTCTGGACCGCCAAATTCGCAGGACTGAACTGCAGTCCTTGCTTCTCCGTGTCTACAGTTGGTGGTTGTAGTGGGGACTGGAACGGGAGCATAGAGGCAGCTACGCCTCCGCATCCGTAATGCCCCAGTACGACCACATGTTTGACTTTGAGTGTCGATAGTGCGTATGCGAGAACCGCGCTCCTATTGATAGAGATAGGCTAGTAAGTAAGAGCCAATGCGTGCGGGTGCCAAATGGGAGGTGAAAGTGTGGTGGGGGATAAGATATAAACGTGCAGTAAGTGAACATTGAGGGATAATGCGAATCCTAACGGATATAACATGAGAAGTGCACAGACTACAAATGTGTATCACCCATTATGGATGCCTCGAGATGAAGGGGAAAAAAAGGTAGCATAACGAAGCAAGGTGGTTGAACCGGGAGATATAGTGGTTGAGACAGATCCTGGTGGTGGACGGAACAAATTCTGGGCACCAGGATGAACGTAAAAAGCGAGTAAACAGAAGAATTTTAAACCAGAAAAGAATTAACCAAACTGCCAAAGAAAACACTTACGAGCTCATATCGACCTCGTCGAATTGGTTTGCGATATTTCCTGCGGTGAATATTGTATCTGGGTTAGCTGAAAAGATGCCTTGTTCATTTACCCTGCTGTCTGAGCAATCGACAAGCATGAATGGCGGACCTGGGTGGTGGGTTAGTTGGTGCTGCAAAGCTTCGGGAACGTGTACAGAGGGGGAATTGATGAAAAAAAAAAAGAGATGGGACGAGGGAGGGTGTACGGATCTTGGGGACATGTGGCAGTGAACAGAACGGAACGATGACAGCCAATGAATGTAGAACAAAACACGGACGTTGACCCTCATTCGCCAGATCCCGCAACAGCCCAGGATTAGTGAGCTTCATCGTCTTCATGTATTCCTGATTTCCGCGGTACAGTGCTTCGGGCACAGGAAAATCTGCGTGGCACGAGCATGGCGTGCGTGTAGGTGCGTGCAAGGGTCTAGCGTGCAGGGAGGGGCTGCGTGCACTGGCAGAGGATGTGCGTGCATGCTCCTAGCGTGCACCCGGGCACGCGTGCATAATATATAGGGTGTGTGTATGGTTTATGAGGTGCATGCATAATAAAAACAGTCAAGTATCTTACTGTTTCATAACGTAGACTAGTGTGGCCCTCCTGTAGGATACTTAATTGTTTACAGCTGTGTTGAATATAGGGTGCGGTCTTCTTGATCATCTTGGGGTGTGGTTTGGGACGCGATTTCTTTTCTGTCAGTTGTATTATCTCTTCGCAGTGAATGTAATCAGGTCCAAACTATTTGACGTCATGTGAGTCACCTCAAACTTAGTGGGTTTCACTTACCTGAAGATCATCATCATCTCCAGGACAATCCTGGTGATTCAAGTCTTCCATCCTTGCATACAGATCCCAATCTTGGTGATGTCCTGCGTCCAAGCCCCATTGATAATAACTCGCGATCCCTGCAGCTCTCGAAACCTCAAACATCTCAGTCTCCAGATTCTCCAAGGCCTCGTGTTCAACATCAATGTCGAACAAGACTGAAGGGATACTTGTAAATTGGATCCTCCAAGCCTCATTGATGATTTCTGGCTTTGTGAGTACCTTCAACTTTGGTTCATTTTTGATATGTTCTGCAGTGTAAAGGGTGAACGCATGAGCTAGCAGTAAGTGCCTGAGCCAGGTCTCTGCATTTTTGCTGATGTGACACAGAAACCAATTTGCGATCTGGGCTCTCTCAACGATAGAAAGAGCTCCACAATACGGAACCAAGCTTGTTTGAAATGGCTTTTTGCCATTTTCTAACCAATCTCTTGCCCGAAACAGCCCTTTTAGATTGTGCTTCATCTGGTTCTGGCAGTCCAAAGTACAGAAAAACATGTCTGAGAAAGTCCTACATGAAATATTTAGAATCTGAATCTGGTTTAATGTCGGGGGACTCACCATCATCTTGAGAATTTTGCCTTTAGATGAAGGAGAAAGCAAGGAAGAATCAGGATGATACTTGTTGACCCCGATCACTTTCCATTGAACGGAACCTAACTCTAAATTGTGGCTTGATACATTGTCCAAAGACCCAGTATTTATTAATTTAAATGGGTAGCGTGCATGGGTGTTCACAAGTGTGTGTTAGCATGATAGTAGTGTGCTAGTGCGTGCAGACGTGTGCTGGTGCGTGGATGAGCGTGCAGATGCGTGGATGAGCGTGACCTTCACAGGTCAGTAACGTGATGATGCGTGCTGATGCGTGAGCACATGCACGCATCTGCATGGTGATGCGTGTCAAGGTCCTGAGCATGCGTGACTGCTGTGCGCATCACTGATTCAGTACAGAAAGTTGCTATTACCATCATTAACAACCAAGATATGGGAATGACAAAGCAATTCAGAAGGATTGAATTTAATGACGTCAAGATGGTTTTTCTCTGCCAGAAAACGGGGAAGTTTTTACATGATTGCATCATTATGTCTCACATTTTTCTATGACATATTCAAAAAAGCCGTGCAACGCCGGGCTACTAAAATAATGTTTATACAAAGGAAAATAAAGCTACTCTAAATTATTGGCTAAAATAGTAGGCTTTCAAGAATATTATTATAAAATTGTCAATTCTTCACCGAATTTAGCGTTCTTGGGCTTGTTTTAAAGCTACGACGCATGGCAATAATGTTTACTGCAAGGAATATGAGAAATATACGCCGTTTTAATCGATTTTCTATTTTTTCGGTCCTAACCGGTTAGTAACTGCAACTAACCGGTTTTCATCGGTTATCTTCGGTCCAGTTAGGTTATTTTGGGTCTGGGAACGAACCCTAACCGGTCTCGGTCTCGGTTAGAGCCCCTGGGCACCCAATAACCTAACCTAACCGGACTTTCAAACACTAATGAAGCTTGCTGACCCGAAAGCCAATCTTGTCTAATCCTGTCTTCACTTCGTCGTTTTGTTAGACTTATTAGAGGATGTTCCTGCCATTATTTCTCAAAAAAATTGGGATGGGTAGGAAGCCTTTCTTTAGTTCTACACGTTTAAATTGTTTTCAGAGAAAGGGGCTATCAGTGTGGAGGTCATTTGCGTGAATATAGACCCTGAATGGACCGGATTTTGTTCCCCGAAGGTGGGAAACATTACATCATCAGAATTGATACTGTGCCCACTTTAATTAAATAACAAACACTTGTTATATTCCATCTTTATTCTATGTACGCCAGATTTACTCATTGTGCAGTGTACTTTCAGGCGTCGCGCTCACTTTTGGCAGAGTTTAATCGCCCTTGAGTGGCGTGGAAAACGGATGAATTCAGACCTCCGTTGGAAAGTTATCTTCTGACTGTCCTTATTGTAGTATAGTGATATAGTAGCTATTAGTAGGTGCTTTAATCTACACACAACAGTCTATTTTTCGTTACATTCGCACAGAATATTGCCAGGATGGTACACGCGTGCACCATCATCTGCGTAAGTAATACTTGCGTGGCAAGCGTGCAAGTTGCGTGACATGCGTGAAAATTAGCACGCAAGCAGTGGCACGCACGCCACGCTAGTGCCACGCAGATTTCTAGTTGCCCCAGTGCTTCGATAGCTGGACATGGCTTGCGCGTTTTCTGGTCCAGGTGTTGTGTGGAGCAGTGTCTGGATATACCGCTCTGCGACAACTGTCTATCCTGCACAGAAAGTTGAAGATGAGCTACGCGAACGTTCAGCCAAGGAGTTTCATGCACAAAGTATCGTGCAAGACGAACCATATGCGCGCTGGCTGTGTCCGTGGTATAATGCACGACCTGCACGCGAGCATTGTTGAACAGGACAGGTACGCTGGGCTGCGAATTTCGCGGGTTGTGTTATGATTGCTGAGAGGGGCATTAGGGCAGAGTAGGAGTGGTAGGAGAGTAGAGGGTCGGACCTTGACTTGAAGTGTGGCCGATGGAAAAAGGTGAAAAAGGTGACCAACAAATCGATGCTAACACGTGCTACGGTGCTCTAGTCCGACGTACAACAAACGTACAACCAATTCACGAACTTATTCTGCAACCTCAAAAGCTCGTCTGGTGGCAGGGAACGACAGAAACAATGGTTAGATGCGCTAGGCAATCCGGTAAGTTCTTTCCCTTCCGTTTCTTTTTGGATGTAAGGCTGACGTTGTGTATTGTGGTAGACATGCGAGTACTGTGCCCAGGACCCTAGTAAACGGATCTGCGACGTGGAACGAGTCGCGTGTAAGGCGTGTAAAGACCGACATCGTTCGTGTCCGCGGTTCATCAAGTTCATGATGGAAACTGTCACTGGGGATTTGGGCATCTCGAATGAGACATACGAGCGGTATCGAATCAACTTTACGAGGAAAGGTGGGGGAGGGGCAGCGGCGAGTACTAGCAAGGGTTCCTCGAGGAAGGCGAGGGAGAGGAAGGTGAAGGATAGGGAGAGGAGGTCTGCAGGTCTGTGTCTATGGCTGCTGCCAAGGATGGACAAAACGGACAACCCGTTGCTGGAACGTCCCCGTCCGCGTCCGCTGGACCTCTGCCTGTCCCAGGGTTCGAGTCTGACTTGGAGAGTTTGTCGAGTTTGGATGACGAAGAAGACGATCACCTCTCTCAAATTCCGCTCCGATCCCACCATCTGCGTCTGCGTCGACATCGAGAGCACCCAACAACTTCCAATTACCACCATCACGTACACCCGGCAGCCATCTCACGTTAGAAGGATGGTCTCAGTTATGCCTCAGGATGTTCGCCTCTCCGTTTCACGTACCAAGAACTCCGTCCCCCCCACTCCCTCCTCCAGCGCCATCGTGGCACCCGTAACCGCACGTCACCCATAACCACAGCAGCACCGCCCAGGGATTAGCAGGCCCTGGCGTGAAACACCCAAGTTTCCTTCCTCCCCCTCCTCCTCGCACACCCGTCAATGGAGCTGTCACTCCCGTCAACCTCAAACATAGAATCCAAGAACTCGAATCGACGCTTAGAGAGCGGGACAGGGCCCTCAAGAAACAGCACGAAGACCGCGTAAGAGGGGATGCTCGTGTGCGGCTACTTGAGGGTCAATTAAGGGACTCGGATAAGCGTCTGGAGGAGTGTACCGCCCGACTTGATGAAGGAAGGCTCGAGGAACGCGATGCGCTCCTCAAAGAGCGGGAGTCCCGTGTACAGGAGCTTGATCAGCTTCTGAAAGAACGGGATACAAGGCTTGAAGAGCTGGAGTCTCGTGTTGAGGGACTACATGCTCGTCTTCAGGACCCGTCCTCAAAGGGAGACGAGCGTCTTCGTGAACGGGATGCACGTATCGAGGAACTCGATGCTAGGTTGGAACAGAGGTGGGATTCGTGGGTTTCAGAAGAGCGCGATAAGCTCTCTGCCCGCATCAAAGAGCGGGAACAGCGTCTCAAAGAACAGGACGCCCGGATCCTTGAACAGGACATCCAAATCCAGGACCTCACCAATCGCTTATCGGAACGTCGTGAAGAAGAGAACCGCGTGTTGGATGCGAGGAGGGTGGAAGATCTCGAGAGAAGGTTACGGATTCAGGAACAGTTGAGGATACAGGAAGAGAGGATGAGGATTGAGGAAGGGAGGTTGTATCGGCTTAGAGTGGATGAGTTGGAGGGGATGGTGAGGAAACGGGGGAGGGGACGTTGATGTGTGAGGTCGGGATTCAAGTTCAAGCTGATGATCAATCACACCCACACGACGAAGAACTCGACGACCGCGAGAAGGACATCGGTTCCAGAGCACAAGAATGTGCGCAGTGCGAACTTGAAGTACGGAACCGGGAAAGGGAAGGGGATAAAAGGAGACGGGGGCGCAGACCATAAGAAATGGTGAGACGTAACGAGTGAGCAGGCGGACACCCAGAATATGGATGTGGAGTGTGATTATTAGGCAATGAACATGAAAACGCACGACAAGCAGCTATAATTGAATGTCTGCACGAGTACCTGTCGGCAAGTAAGCCCGCTGAAAGGGCACCAAACAGAGCCCCAAGCTCAAGGACAGCAGCTAGAAATTGGGCATCACAAAACCAAACTTGGTTCAATATAAAAAATTAGCTACTCAAAATCCCCTTCTGTAGCGGCGTCATGGGCCAACGGCGGATGAAGTCTTCCATAACTAGCACGTTTGCAATCTACTCAAGCAGATGGTAAGCATCTTAATACGTTCAAACGCCATGAGACACGTAAATCAACTCACCACGCCCTGGTCATACCCAAACTCCAGCCCTCCAATGCTAGCAAAGAACGCACACGCAAGCGCTTATCCATTATACCAGAGCCCTGCAAGCCCAGGTGGCCCATATGCGTATGTATAGCTTCGCCCGTCAGGGAGAATGGTCAGCGACCCTTTGTGTTGTTTCCCCCCTCGAATGGGCGGTAGCAGAGGTGCATGTTCTAAGTCATGATCAGTTGAGACCAGCCCCGAAGGAGAAGACTCAAACGTCGAGGAAGATGATGAGGTTGCGGTGTCGAGTGCTATGTAACTGTTGGCATTACGGGTGCTCTGTAGGTTGCCGCTGGCATTAAATCTTGGGAGCTCAGGGAAATGTAGAGTAACTCACCATACGTATCGCTTCGGTTGTTGAAGGCAGCGTCGCCGTCGTTGTTAGGAGCGGAAGTCGTCGTCGTCGTCGAGGAACAAGTCAAAGCCCGCCCACTTCGATAGGTTGAGTCACGTGTACTAGTCTTCCACCCTGGCTACTTACAAACTTTACCCTCAGGGATCAATAGACCTGAGAAGGGCCGGTTAAATCTGGATACATTTCTAGGAGAGGTCGCGCAGCTCACCTCATTGCGCTAGCTAATCCTCAAATCAATCATTTTCAACAATATACTACCGCCCGGAAATCACCACTTCTCTTCCAATCTCGATATGCTAACCTTGGAAGATCTCAGCATCGACACGCTCCTCGCCATCCTCTTCAGATGTGATCATCCAGACCTTACGACCCTCAAGCTCGCTAGGTGTCCCCTGGACGCGATGCCCGAATATTTCCTCCTAAACATCCCTTGTTTGGTGTTACAGGATCTCGCCCCCACCGTGAACCTCATGGAGATTTTCGACAGATGGCATGGAATGGGACTCGAAATCGTCGGCTGTCCAACCTTTGATGACGATGTGCTGAAGCGACTGGGCATGCCAGGCGTAGGCGTGAGCATTCAGGAACTGGCCATCTTTGATTGCACAAATTTTTCTGTCTCAGCTTTACAGGAAATGGTATAAAGCAGGCTTCTTTGGGCTGGTCTTATGCAGACTCTAAAAGTGGCGGGTGAAGGGCCGGCTATCACAGACGACGAACGGGCGTGGTTTGGAGATCATGTAGCAGAATTCTCAGCTGACGAGGTTGTATTGGCTGATCCTGAATGACTTACTTGGGTGGATGGCCCCCCCAAGGTTCGGCTTGCGGGCGAAGACTCATCCCAAATTTCCACTACGACATAACGCCACTTTATCCTACCTGCAGTGATATGATAAAGTAAGTGCAAAAAAGGCCCACTTTTTCTAATGCTTGCGATAAGTGTAGAAATTGTTTATCCACTTCGTCCCCACCTGCCTCTTCGCACTCCGCATGCCCGTCGCCTACGCCCATCACCTCAAGGGCACCAATTCCAACTACATACACATTTTCGAATTGCCTGAATTGATACTGAACCCCTGTTCTTTTTTTTCGTGGCGTACTCACCCTTTCG